CCCACACCTCCTCCATGTCCCTTAATGTCATTGGTCTTCAAAAATCCTATTGATTAATGACATGTCTTTTCACGGTTCTCTAAAGTACAGAATTCTAATGATTCACCACCATCCGAGTGAAGAAACTCCCACTCAACCTAGTCCTAAATTGCTGTACCAAAAGATATTTTAAGCATGTTACGATGTACCTCTGGAACAACTGAAACTTGATCCCAGACTTTCTGTTCCATGTGTAGGGACACTACTGCTGTGCCCCAATAGTCCTTAGATAATTTGGTTGGCTTGGATACACATACTGCAAATGACAGGTTTGGAAACAAATCAAATTGACAAAATAGGATCTTTGGATGACAACATTTCTTGATGATAGCAAATTATATTTTGAGTGCAGGGAAGCTGTATCTCTTCAAAAGGAGGAAATGCACGTATTCTTGAAGTGTGAAGTAAGTGAAAGTTCAGTTTCGGGTCACTATATTGATTATAGTGTCACCTGGTTCAAACAGCTCTGAACAAACAAGTTATTGATATAATTAAACAGAACCAGTCTGGAGATTAAACAGTTGCCACTCTGTTTGAACACTTAAATTCTACTTAAAGGCCAAATGCCTACAGCTCAATGCTATGGCCATTGTTGTACAGTGGAGGTCATTTTGGGGAAAGTCAAGGACAAATTTGTTGGAGAGAAATGCAGCAGTCCAAACAACTTGAATGGCATCTTAACACAGCAGCTCTCAACTTTTGAAAGAGTTCCAGCACTTACAGCAATATTCTAAATGAGCCTTTTAATGTTGGCTGCATTTAACGATTTCGTGACTGGCTGTGGAGTGGAATCCTTCATCACATTTATATAGAAAATTAGGGAACAGTGACAGAGTTGTAATGGTGCTGGATAGTAATTCAGAGGGCCAGACTAATACTAGCAGAATGGGTGCAACCAATGCAGCTGGGGCACTTCTAAAACAACAATTTCATAAATGCTAGTCTAATGAGTAACCATGTAACATTATCTAATGCTCTTTGGGAAAGGAAATCTGCTGCTGTAGAGTGACAGTAGACAGGGCAGTACTTTGTTGGTTGTAAAGTGCTTAGGAATGTCTGGTTGTCATGAAATGAACTACATAAATGAAAGCTTTTTTCTCTTTATGGGTGCCATGTTATTATCTTACACCTCTTTATGAAATTCAATCCATGCTTCACTGAAGGGTTAGTAGATAACTGACTTGATGGAGGAAGAAAGGATTTCCTGAAAGCCATGGTTGTATTTCATGCATGTGATTTCCTTCCCTGTTCAAACACACTTAGCTTTTCACCCTAAGTTAGTCATTACATCTCCTTTTATCAAATCCCATTGACCTGCAAAGCTGCAAGAACTCAGAATTATATTCAGAAATCACAAACAAATACCAAGACATCCTGGGCAACTCACTAGATTTCATTTCACAAACCTTGGAGGAAAATGAGTCTCAGCACCATGCCACAATGCAGTTGTTTTGCTACAAATTTCTTAAATGTGAAGAGCAGTATGCAGTCTCTCACCCAAAAACCTAGAACACGAATTTAAACAACTGATAAAATATTCAATTCAAAGAGAGAGAGTCTTAAGAGCCTATTCACTAGGAGTAAACAAACCTTATTACTCCATTGGAGGTATTGCAATACCATCATTGACATGGGGTATTATCGTAGCAACTTGTGACAACATAGGCTATTTCCATTATGGTTTATAAAGAATTGTAAAAATAACGGCACAATAGCCAGAGTAAATCTACTAATATCATCAGTGAAGGATATCGGTTTCCTGTAATAGTTCACAGAAATCCCTACAGTGTGAAAGCAGCCTATTTAGCCCATTGAGTCCACGCTACCCTTCTGAAGAGCATCCCACCCAAACCCCCGCCATCCCACCAACTCTGTAACCCTGCATTTCCCACGGCTAATCCACATAACCTACACATCCCTTATACTACAGGGCAATTCAGCATGACCAATCCACCTAACCTGCAAGTTTCCGAACCCACACAGACACGGGGAGAATATCTGTTTGGAGTTTGCACAGTCGCCTGAGGCTGGAATCAAACCCAGGTTCGTGAGGCAGCAGTGCTAACCACTGGGCCACCATGCTGCCACAAGTTACAAGACTTCGGTTTTCATCAATGAATGAGATTGAAAACAAGAATGAAAACACAAGCCAATTTACACATAGTTTGCCACCATTCAATTTCTACATCAAGAATGACCAGTTTCATTAACAGGCTACCCCATTTACCAAAAAAACAACATAAGCCATTACTTTTGCTCATTGATAATAGGAACTGCTGATGCTGGAGAATCCGAGACAACAAGGTGCAGAGCTGGATGAACACAGCAGGCCAAGCAGCATCATAGGAGCAAAAAGGCTGACGTTTCGGGCCTAGACCCTTTTGCTCATTAGTTGCTTGAACTCAAAACAAGTTGGGAAAACAATTAGTCTCTAAATGACTTAAAAAATCCTGGGCAGCTATGCTGTACTTTGAACATACCAAGGTTGAGATTTACCATCTTCCAATGCGCACTACTCCAGCCTTCATATATTTCCAGTGAAATTTTTTTTTCAAATCTCTTTTCAAAGGCAGTTGGCTTTAGAAATATCAAAAATGTTCCAGTACAGTATTTTGCATAGGCATACCACCAATTCAAATATATTGTCCTGAATCATAACATGGTTCTATATGACCATAAGACTGTAAGAAATAGGAACAGGAGGAGGCCCAGAAACAAAGCAAAGAACTGCAGATGCTGGAGATCTAAAACAAAAACAGAAATTGCTGGTGAAACTCAGGTCTGGCAGCATCTTTGGGGAGAAAGCAGAGTTAGCATGTTGAGTACAGTGACCCTTCTTCAGAATTATGATGAAGAGTCATCAGACTCGAAATGTTTACAAGAGTAGGCTCTTCAGCTCCTCAAATATGCTCTGCCTTTCAATAAAATCGTGGCTGATCTGACATTCCTCACGTTCACTTTCCTGCATTTTTCCTACTGATCAAACTTGCTGGCTTTTCCCGTAGTTTGCCCCATTCCTTTGATTATTTGAAAAAAGAGAAAAGGATAGCTATCCTGCTTCTGCCAACCTCAGAAAAATATGTTTTAAAAGCTTACTTTATCTTGAGCAATATCTTATTAAGGCTCTCAAATACCCATTATAACTAGAACTAATCTGTATGTCACATACTTCAATCATTTGGACATTAAAACTGTAATCCAGTTATAATACTGCTATTGGATGACATATAGTTGCAGTGGCCCTGGAGAGGCAAGGGGGAAGACTGCACACAGCACCTGTTTCCAATAGCTTTCTAGTCACCACTGCTTCGAATGTGCATCTATGAGCACTGGGTGAGGATAGGATTGAGTTCAACTGTGATATCTTTCTGTAGTTGAACAGCAAGTTAACATTCGGGCATTCATTCACAATCTGGATGACGAACTGGAGAACACTTACATCTTAGAAAATATGCTGTAGCTTCAGAGCAGAAGGCAAGTAGTAAGTTGGAAGAAAGCAAAGAAAAAAAACCTTGCTGAGTATTATGGTCTTCTAGATGCACATTTCACACAACATAAAACTCAAGTCGATGAAATGACTTGACAACTGCATTTATCATAATGAATATTTCAAACTTTTGCTTGAATGATTACATTGAAGATATCTCACCGTCGTGATGGACAGCATTGGGAAGGATGCAAATAAGATTCAGTTTCTGGAACAACCTATTACAAAAATTCAAATTCACAACTTGTACATTGACCATCGGGAACGTTTAAGCATTTGAAGTGACAGCTTTGCAGGGGTGTGTTTAATGATCTGTCTTTGTTTTTGGTTAAAAAATAAGCTGATGCCCCACGGGTTTGTCTGGCATCAGAATACTGCTATCATGTCTTTCCCATCAAAGCTAATTCTCGGGTACTTCCAAAAGAAAGTGATCCAAATAGCAGATCCTGAGGTCCACTACATAGACTAATTGCTGTTGGATATTTTTCTACTTTGACAACTGTTTGGCTGCTGTCCTTGGGAAGGGGCCAGGTTCTCTCAGGTCAGAAATGCAAAAGGAAATCAATGGCTTGTTTTCTCTTTTCCCTTAAAACAATGTTTTTTGTTAAAGTAGTAGATTACAGTGACAAAGTGAGAAACGTCTGATCAGCAGACATTAGAACTATTAAATATCAGGCTGTATTGCTTTTTGATTGCATCTGCATCTGCAATTGCGATGCAAGTTAACACATACTAGCATCTCTAAAGTTTGCCAAACACTTTGGAGTAGGGAGGAGTGCCTTTTAAAAACACATTTACAGAGTGCTGCTGGTACACAAGCTCAATGACTGACTGACCACAATGAATGCTGCCCCAGACTAGCTCCATGAATGGCTTATGTGATTTGATCATCCTTTGAGCAGAGGATGTGAAAACAGCAATAATTCAAGATACTTTCAACACGCTGATAATTTTTTAAGCATGTGAAGTCGAATATTAAATTTCTTTTCACAATAACATGACCTTGCTAACCCAAAGTCCGATGAATGAGATGTTGAGGCTATTTTCAATCACAATTAAATTCACGGACAGTAAAATATGGACATTACATGAAATAAATCTTCTGGACTTTTTTTTAAAATGAAGTATCTTTAAACACAACAGGCACCTTCCCAGTTTGCTACCTGCAAAACTTCCTCTCAGAAATTCAACACTAAAAGACAGAGTCCTGCCGCCAATCCTCAAGATTTACTTTCACAGGCACGTCACAGCTGCAAGCAAATCTTTTTCTTCCCCCTCCTGAGGAAAAAAAAGGCACAACTTTCAGACAAATGTGCATTTAGTGAAAATATTAATCGTCATAAAAGCAACGGTTTGAATTTACATTGTTTCTCATGCTCAAGGGATCCAAGACATTACCGAACCTGAACAGCCGAAAGCGTGAGGACCACAAACCAAATTCTCAGAAAATAATCCGGAGCTCAGCAGCTTTTACCTGAAAGAGCTTTGATCCTGGAACGCTCGAACAACCTTGCTGAGCTGTTGTCGTTATCGAGTTCACCTTCGTCTGAGAGCTCCCAACGAGCATTGATGTGGCTGTACTGCTGCTGAATCTCCACGTTATCAAAATCTGTGGCCGATGTCATTGTGCTGCTTCTGCGTTCGTTTTACCCTCTCTCTCATAGGGCCTCTCTGCAGGAGAGAAACAACACTTTATCACAAAACAGCTTCTTGGCAAAAGAAATATCCCAGTGTTGTATGAGCTGCAGGATACCGACTGCAACTTTAGATCACTGTGGGGGACGGTTGATACATTCTTTTCATTGGAGGCATTCAGCTTTTGTGATAATAATGCAGCAAGAATGGTGCAAGCACCCCTGAAAATTTCACAGCACATTCTGTCCAGCAGATGGAGGTCTTGCATGTACAAACATGCTGTAAAGCAGTATCGAGCAACTGCACATAGCGTGATTGCTCCTCGCTTTCAACAGAGACATCATGGACAGACTGTTACTTATTCAACAAGCCATCAAGTGGAATGTAGATCGAATACTCAACCGAGCAAGTAAACGGAAGCTTTGTCCGTTGTTGTGTTGTCCGAGTTTGATGAAATGAATTATATCTGCGAGTTTATTTCCTGAAAATTCTTCTGGGAGCATGAGACTTGAGCAAGTGTAACGGGTTTACAGCTGTGAATAATAGATTGGAGCTGATGCGGTGACTCACAGCTCCCGCACTTCTGCATCAAAATAAACACACAGCACACATGCATTACGATTGTCTGCAACGCCAGCTGTATTCGTCACATGCACTGAAAGGTCCTGTTGTACTGGCTGCATGTGATCATCCACTGGCACTACATTAAGCCACATTTCTGGACAAGGCACTTTAAACTCTGAAACCCCCTTCGAAGGAAGAAGGAACACTGGCGTTTCATTAATCAACCTCCAGATTTCATTTCGCAGCAGAACCATCCACAACAACTAACAACCAAAAAGATGAGTACTGCTAATATAGGGGTCGAGTATATTAATACTGAGGCATTTTTTCAAGAGTTGTCCAGTATGTAATCTTGGAGCTTATTCATTCAAATTTAGTATCGTTCTTTCACTTAAATGCTGATGCCGATGCTTCAGTTAGTACACAGCTTTAAATACATTGTAACAGTAAAGTTGCTGTTAAGAGTAGTGCAGGAACATTACCAATATAACCACAGGGACTGCAGAGAAAATCAAGGGATAGATCCTCATCTGCCTTCAAGTACAGATTGTGAAAATCATCTTAGGCTGCCGAGGACGGAAAGGGAAAGGACTATGGATGTGAAGGCTACAGAACAGAAATAATGAACAAAAATTAAAGTAAAATTACACTCCTGCCCAAAACCATAGTATTAATCTAAAAACAAGGGAAGACTGGACAGAACTGAAAGTGAAAGTCTTTGGTACCCTCTAGATTAAAGAGAAATTCCAGAGTAAAAGAGAGAAATAAGGTTTAAGTGAGGCACACTAGAACCAGCAGATCAAAAGTTCAGAGGAACATAAAACAGAAATAGAAACAGAAGGAAAGAAATGAAAAATAGAAAGAAAACTGTGAGAAAAATACGAGATTTAATCTTTCTGATATGTGCGCACCATATGTATCATAAGCGTTTGCCCAGTGTGTGCAGACACAAAGTAGCAGAGATATCATCTCTATTTTAATTGTGGGTTCACTGCATTCTAACTCAAAATTTTAGCAGCTCCAGTGATAACTTACAACATCTTAGATCCGTATATCATCACTGACATAACCAGAGCTCCCAATGGATTCCCAGCAGAATGGTAAAAAAAAGTATGACATTGACGTTATACATCAGGTAAGGTAGCCCAAGGCATGCTTCAAGGGTTGGCTTTAAGAAATGTCTTAAAGGAGGACAGTGAGGTAGGAAGACACATCGGCAGTACTCCAGAACATGGAAGAAATGCAACCAAAAGGCATGGCTACTCATGGTAGAGCATGGCTGCTCTCACTGGAATAGTCTAAAAACAACAAAGACACGGGTGAGGGTTTCAGCAAGAGATGAACTGAGACAGGCACAAAGTCAACAGAGATGATGGAGTCTGAGAGGTGACGGAATCTATATGAGGGTGACAGTAATACATATGTGTGGCGGCAGGACAAGCAGCCATAGCTTGGACTAAGGCTGCAGCTAACTGGGCTGGTGCTTGTTCCAGGGCTCAACAGCAATGAATGCAAGTTATTTCCATTTTATTTTACTCAGGCTTGTGCCACTTGGGACTTTGCATGTAGCCCAGGCTGTGGGGCATGGGAAGGCACATGTGGCCTATGATGCAGCATGTATACTGGCCCATTTGACCCGGTCATGAAGTAGGGAGGAGAGATTATGGTGCAGCTAAAAGAAACACGTGAGCACAAAGGCTCGATTTGGGAGAGCAGATAAGGCAAAGGGACGTCTCTGTCGCTGCTTGAGTTATCTTCCAGGAACTGATTGACCAGAGCTGGCCATGCAGTGCGCGGAGGTATTGCTGAGGTTCAGCTCAAGGTGAATCCACACCATTAAGACGGCCATGAGCAGAGCTGTGGAGGTTCTGCAGAAATGCACTGTTTTAGCTGAAGATTGGAATGTTTGGAACTGCTGTCATATATGAGGACTGGTGGCTAAGTCCTCCAAGAAAAGCCACAATTCTGTTTGAGGGAAGTCAGAGCTTTGACAGACTTTGTGGCTGAGATTGAAGCCATGTTTGCCTGAGATCTGGTGCAATTTATAGGTTTATGCTAACCGGAATTTGCCTGTTAATCAGTGTTTAGCTTATGTAGATTTTGGTTCGGTTGTTACAGTGTTAGAAATAATATTTGTTCATTGGTTTTCCCATTGGAGTTTTTCGGTAAATTTGATTCTTTTGCTTTGTTGAATTACATAAGAATCTTAACAGAGAAGGTCAGCTGTCTTAATTTGATCCTGAAGTCAAAAGTGACAGCAAAGCAGTCAGAAAAGTTGGGAGTGAGGTGGAGCTGGGTATCATCAGCATATAGACTAAAGGAAATGTGGTTCCTTCAGACTATATACCAAGAGACAGGAAATAAATAAAGTGACAGATCTGAACCAAGGATAAATCCATGGGAGACATTAGAGGTCATGCTGAGGGAATGGGAACAGAAGTCATTGCAAGTGATTCTCTGGCTATGATTTGATAATAAGAATTGAGGCAGTTCCATCAGCTGGATGAAAGTGGACAGAAGGGCTCTCATGGTGTAGTGACAGTGACCCAGCCTCTCAGTCAAATGGCCCACATTCAAGTCCCACCTACTCCAGAGGTCAGTAACGCCATCTCTGGACAGGTTGATTCAAATACATCCAAAACTGGACGGACACTAGAGGAGGACAGCGTGCTCAGTTAGGTCAAAGGTGGAAAGCAGGTTAAGAGGAAAAGGAGGCAAGGTTTACCTTTGTTACACTCACACAGAATGCCCTTTGTGAATTTGGTTTCGATACTAAGGCTGGTGTGGAAACATAATTGAAGGGATTCAAAGATAGAGTTCTGATAAAGATTGGAACAGATTTGAGAGACAACAGATTCAAGGACTTTGGAGAGGAAAGGGAGAATTGAGAAGGCTTGCAAAGATAGTGAGGTCAGCAGCACGTTTAAAAGAGAGATGAACAACACCATGGGAGAAAGAGCCATTTATAATATCAAATAACAAGGGGGGCAGGAGGGCAAGTTGGGTGATCAGCAGGTTAATGGGAATATGATCAAGGGAACAGGGGTTGGCTCAATAGACAAGATGAATCCAGAGCAACTGTTAGAGGACACCTGAAAGAAGCTAGCTAAAAATGTGGTACCAGGGCTAGGGCATTAAAGGAAGGTTGGGAAGCAGGCTAGTGGAGGTGAGGGGCATGGCACAAGTAACCGATTAGATTAAAGATCAGTTAATGGGAAAGAAGTTCACAAACTGCTCACACGTGTTGTTGGAATTGAAGGGAGGAGAACGGGAACAAAGGTTTAGTGGATAGTTTGCATGAGTTAAAAAGCAATCTTGCATTTCAGGATGTTACTGGAATAGTGAGTGATTTTAGCAGACAAGAGTATTCAAGACAAGTGTATTTTCAGTGATCTAATTACATCTGGTGCTTCGTTGCTAAAAAAATGCGTCTATCACATCTTTTCAAAACAGCATCACTTGGACTTAAGGGAGCAAAGATGAGGTCCATATGAAAATGAACTAAGGGAAGAGAATGTAGAGCAATAAAAATTGAGCTAAGGTTACCATACCTGCAGAAATGCTGCGCTCAATAGAAGTCCAAAGGCTATATTGTTGGGATTTAGAAACAGCAGTTGAAAGTGAATTGGTGTCATATTTTCACAGGGACAGAAACAGAAAGAAGGATTGTGAGTAATGAATGATACAAGGAAATGATCAGAGGGGTCCTTATCTGAAATTAATACAATAGAACTAGCATGACCGCAATAACATGACAAGGTCAAGAGCATGGTTGTTAATTAGTAACACAAAAAAAAATCATCCCTCACAAGGGTTTTAACTGACAATTAAAACAAAGGTGCCAAAAGTACTTTGAATATGTAGGATATTAATAAATTGGAGAGGGTTCAGAAAAGATTTACCAGGATGTTGCCAGGAATAGATGGTTTGAGTTATATAAATAGGCTGTATAGCTAGGACTTTTTTCACTGGACCATAGGAGGTCGAGGGGTGACCTTATAGACCTTATAAAATCATGTGGACATTAGATAAGGTGAATATCCAAGTCCATTTCCCTCGGGAGGGAGGAGTTCAAAACTAGGGGGCATTTTTTAAGGTGAGAGGAGAAAGTTTTAAAAAGGACATGAGGGGCAACTTTTTTTCACACAGAGAGTAGCTCGTGTGTGGAATGAAATGCCAGTGGAAGTAGTGAATGCAGGCACATTTACAACTTTTAAAAGACATTTGGATAACTACATGAAAAGGAAAGTTTGGAGGAATATGGGCCAAATGCAGAGAAATGGAACTAGTTTGGTTTGGGAACATGGTCGGCGTGGACTAGTTGGAATGAAGGGTTTGTTTCCATACTGTATGATTCTATAAATGCTCAGTTGCTCAGTTTAATGGACATTATGTTACAAAAGAAAGCATAAAATTTGGTTTTTTATATATATATATATATACACACATACACTTATAAACCAATATAATGGCAAGCCTTGCATCAGAATGAAATAACTTGATTATCCACTGAAGTCATTGGGATGTGAGAGGGAACAAGATATAATTTTCAATGCTTTACTTTTACATAATGCAATTGTCAGGGCACAAACAAAATCCAAGGATTGGAAAAGCAAGTAACGGCCTCTTTGTAATTTGGCGACTGTGCTAGCATTTCTAGCAGGTGTAACCTTAAAGTTTTTGAGAAGATTTACCTCAGTTGTAACCTTGCTAGATTCTAGAATTGGTGTGGAGGTGGTTTGATACCCAAATAAGGATCACTTACAGGAGAACTATTTGTACTTCAACAATCCGGGCTTTCAAAATATTTTCCATCATTGTCCAATGGAGAGTAGGCAATGGCTTAGTGGTATTATCGCTGCACTATTAATCCAGAAACTCAGTTAATGGTCTGGGCACCAGGTTTGATTCCCGCCATGGCAGATGGTGGAATGTGAATTCAATAAAACAAAATCTGGAATTAATAATATACTGCTCACCGTGAAATCATTGCCAATTGTTAGAAAAGCTCATCTGGTTCACTAATGTTCTTCATGCAAGGAAATCTGGTCTGGCCTACATGTGACTCCAGACCAACAGCAATGTGGTTGACTATCAACTGCCTTCTGAATTGGCCTAGCAAGCCATTCAGTTGTACCAATCGCTACAAAGTCTCAAAGAAATGAAACCAGATAAATGACCTGGCATTGCGGTTCAAGAAGGCAGCTCACCACCACCTTCTCAAGGGCAACTAGGGACAGGCAACAAATGCTGGCCAGCCAGCAATATCCACATCCCACAAATGAATACAAAAAAATTAAAACTGTCCATTTATAATTTATCTGATTGCATGAAGAGAAACAGTAAACAGTCAAATAAAAGCAAAAAAAAAAAAGCTGTGGATGCTGGAAATCTGATTGAAAAACAGAAACTGCTGGTGAAACTCAGCAGGTTTGGCAACATCTTTAAAGAGAGAAAGACTGAAGGTTCAATTCAGACTTGAAACATCAATTCCACAGATGCTGCCAGACCTGCTGAATTTCTCCAGCACTTCCTGTTTTCATTAATTGCTGGTCACCCTGCCACGTAGATACTTTCAGCTCCACCCCTCAACAATGGACAAGGGAAGTAGCTACAGTGAACAACGCAGCTGTACTTCTTTCCCCTGACCCCAGAAGTGTTTCCACTAAAAGGTTTAAAGTAACTTTTTACAGCAGCAGGCTGCATGATGCATTTCTGTCCTCTCATGCAGACAGGATCTCTTATTTAAGTCAGACTCTCACAGCACAATTGGAATTACATAATGCTAGTCAGCCAGATTTCCCAAAGGTCAGCGGCTAAATGGAATTAGGAGCAGTTAGATAAAGCTGTCAAGTGCTTTTTACAGCACTGCTTGTGAGCCAGGTGGAGCAGGAGTTCTCTTCCTGGCCTCTAAAGCAAACCTATGCCCATTACATCCTCATACCACTGCCACGATTACACAGCTCCCTCTTCAAAGACACCAGTCTTTGCCTCCAACCCTGCTTGTTGGCATGGTTTAATAACCACTAAATACCCAGATCATTTCCAAATGGCAGGGATCCTATCCTACGTACAGCCTTATCTGGACATTGGAGGTCTCCATCGTGGCTTCTCTGAGTTGATCTCAACAGGTCGCTCACCATCCTATTCACTTTGTTTACCGTTCCCCCAAACCATTTGACATGCTGAGTCATGAATCAATTTGGATACTCTTTGTCCCCTAACTGCATCACATTTGACTTCCAAAGCGCAGTTCCCTGTAGCTATTGAAAATCCATCCATCTAGAATCTTACCTGTTGCTGTTCAACCCACAGTGAGGAGGTTGAAACTCCTCCACTCTTAACAAATACATGTGATAACTTGCAGCAATTTATGTGAAATTACAACTGACTAAGAAGCACATGTTTACAGGATGTTGATAAAAAGATCTAGTCATGTCTACCTTGTGACCATAGCAGCAAGTGAAATTCCAAGTTTCCAACAGGACAGCAACATGTTCCCACAGGCACTGGTGTGAAGGAGACATCAACGCGACACAAATGACATGTGATAGTTTGAATTGCTAAAGTCAGGCTTCATTGGTCATTTTAAATTGTGGGCAGGTCACCACTGGAAGGTTGAATGATTACATCTGCTGTGTCACATTTTTCGACAGCAAGACGGAATCATTTGAAGGGTATTGGCAGAAACTCCTTTTCAACAAAAAGTTTCACTCTGAAGTTTTATACATTTGTTACTCCACTGAACAATTTTAATGCTAATGATCCTTAAAAGAGTCACCATAAAAATCTATATCTCCATTTTAAATGCATGTAAAACTCTGGAGCTGTCCCTGAGACTAACAACTGCCATGAGTATGTATATCAGTTAATGATGATACATACTGTAACTGCCACAAGTAGGAGTAAAGTGGTTTAGGATTTCTAAGAAAAAGTATGTGAAGGTGTGGCTTGTCGATAACGGTATCAGTAAATTCATTGCCAATGCGCAGTATGTTAAGGGACCAGATAGATAAAGACTGTTACATTCCAGAAGCACTTACTACAGCATACTACAGGCTGCTTTCTGTACAACACTCAAGACTCACTCCAGCCCTGGAATTAGGGTTAGACCACTGGTGTCACCTCAGCTGCTGAATTCCTGCCTCCTTGTCTTTAAATATCTCAGATACTGCTTTATCAGCAGCAGCTGTTAACCATCCCAGTCCCTGCATGTCAAACATGGCAGGTCAACGCTGCAAAAATTATTCACTTGGTCATCTTTAAAATATGCAACCATTCATTCCTTGTTAATCCGTGGCAGCACTTGAGGTCGTGCTACAAGTTCCCATTCGATATACACCAGGCACAAACAGCAAAGCACCTTCACTTCTCCAACCTGAATGAAAAGTTAACACTATGTCTGCCTAAAATAATGTCTCAATGGTTTGATGACAAGTACAGCCTAATTAACTCAAGAAAGGCTTTGGGTGGTTGGTTGTTTTTGCCTGTTAATGGAACTGAATAATTTGGCAATACATGTCACATCACCTGAATGAGAGAAAGGGAGCTTTGAAGGCATTTGATTACGCATGCAAGTTAGAAAATGGACCGTGGTGCATTCTCAGCGCTCGAGAGAGACTGCCAATTTCTGAAACAGCTGCAAAAACAACGCAGCAACCATTGATTTCAGCAAATCCATAGGAATGGGAAACACAACGTACAACAAGTGCTTTTTTCTCATGCTTGCAATATGACTGTTGCTGCCAAGACCAGAAGTTAATAACCACACCTATTTACTATGAGACAATATTCTCTCCTTGGTTAACTGCAGTGTTATTTGCTTGTAGCCATTCAAAAGATATAAATGCCTTGCTCGGTTAATTAGGAATCAACCACATTGCTGTGGATCTGGAGTCGTACGTCAGCTAGATCAGGTAAGGCATAAGATTTCTCTTCCTAAAAGTCAATATTGAACCAGTCATGGTTTTACGGTAATCTAAAGGTTTCTTGGTCACTTTTACCAATACCGGCTTTTCATTACTTCCAGATATTTTAGCTTTATTTAAATCTTCAAACTGCCCTGATGGGATTTAAACTTTCATTCTCTGAATTACCTGTCCAGTAACACAATCGCTGCACTACTGTAATCACTGGTAGAAACATTTGTCATTGATTTCCACAAAATGTTGCCTAAAAACTTAGACAACAAACTACTGAAAACGATGAAAAGCTAAAAATCTAAAGAACCAAAGGCATTCACAGAGAAACGCGAAAGTCTGCAAAGGAAATAACAGTTGCAGGTAATAAAATTACAAGCACTTGTGCAAAAGCAGGCTATTTATTCCATCATATTGCATCCAAACTGAGCATCTAATTGTTTTTCTTAAATTACTCAATTGTACCAGCAAGTCCATTCCAAGTGATGATTATTCTCGGTATGAAGATTATCCTGACATTAGTTCTAAAGTTGCCACTTATTAGTTTGAATTGATGTTCCCTTTGACCACAAAAGATGTCGAAGCAATGGGAAAGTGATGTACCAAAAAAAAACATAACCCTCAAGATACAGATGATGTGACTGCATAATCCTATCAACTATTAAATAAATTACAGCGATCATGTGCCAGATGTATAAAGCCATCACCATATGCACACATTCAAATACTACCAGCAAATGGTTATGATAAGTGTTTCAAGAAACTATTCTGCATTTGACCCATTTCATATTCCTCAGCCTTTATGGTTCTGATCAAGTTTCTCAATGGTACACACTATTTGCTGAACTGAGAAAATGAGCTGCTAACTTATTCCCCAGTCTCTTCCAATGCCAGCCTGGCTTTCTAAACACATCTGAACAGAGTGAACCATTTATGTATTGATTTTTTTTTCTCCTTATGGTGTCAAAGCACTACTGACCAACTGCCCCCTGCAATATGTCTGATTCAATAGTTCTGATCAAACTTGGGTGGGGGCTTTGTGTGTGTGTGTGTGTGTGTGTGTGTGTTTTTTTTGTGTGCACGTGCTTTGTGTGTGTGTGTGCGCGCGCGCGTGCGCTTTTTGTGTGTGTGCTTTTTTTTGCGTGTGTGTGCTTTTTGTGTGTGTGCTGTGTGCATGTGAATACTATTTTTCTACATACACTACACAGATTAACACTGCCTTACATTTAATTTCTGTTGAACATTTCTATGAGTTTACAATTCCATAATTAACCTAGCATACAGCTACGACATTCAAGGCTGGAGTAGGCAGCAAGTTCATATCCCAGCATACGTGGGGTCTGGAAATGGCCTCATTTTTATGTTGGAGGGGAGTCTCAGGCCAAAATCTCCAAAGAATCACAACCTGTTTTGCTAGTGTAAGGGGTATTTTGGGCAATATCCATAGGAGTCCACAGACATCGGCAAGTGGTGAGAGAAGGGGTGCCCTCAGTAGCCCATCATGGCCTGGAGACTGGGGATGCGAAGGGCAAAGGAGCATTTCTGGCCCCCATAGAAACCAATAAGAGCAAATTCTGGCCATCCTGGGCCTCATCTGGCCCACATCCTGTTTGCCAGAATGTATACTCGGGAAGCTCTGGTCAAATTACAATTACAACAAGGTTCCAACTGAATCAGAGCACAATGATCTTGTAATATTTAATAGGACCTCCTTTGTCTGCAGCGTTGAATTGAATTGAATTAGCTTTATGGTCACATGCACTGTGTGCAGCGAAAGGTCTATGACACTACTTCAGCATCATCTTAGGTACATAGGTACCTAGGTACAGCTTCTTCAGTTCCAAGATTAGTTACAGTGTAACAACGTCAGCAACACACAGCGGCTACTCACAGAGTAGCTAGGTACAATCCTTAGTTACAGAATAGAGAAATTAAGGAAAAAAATTACATTACAGCTACACAGAGTTTAACCAGAGATCAGAAAAACAAGAAGCAAAGTTAAAAAGATAAACATCACATTCTCTCTCCAAGGGCTGTCCGCAGCAAACCAGTGCAGGGGGCGCTCCTCACTGTCTGATTGTTGTCTGCCCCCCCTCTGCTCCACACCGGGGCCCTTTTCCCCACCCCGCTCCACACCGGGGCCCTCTGCCTGCCCCCCACACCTGCTCCACACCGGTGCCCTCTGCTCCCCTAATCTGCTTCACACCGGGCGGGGCCCTTTTCCGCATCCCGCTCCACACCGGGGCCCTCTGCTCCACACTGGGGGCTCTCTTCCCCCACGCCCCACACCAGGCCTCTGCCCCCGTGCTCCACACTGGGCCTCTGCTGCTACACAAGCACTTTTCATGCCTCCTGAAATCCAGGAGTAAACTGGTAATGTGTATAATGAAAGGGAAATACTTTGTCCCTTATTAATTGCCCTTATCATCTACACACGATAGTCCCATAGCGCAGGCGAGAGGTGCTGGGGTGTCTAAAAGTTAGGCTAAGATTTGTCAATGATCTTGCACCAAGCACGTTCAAGGTGTCAGAACATATTACATTCACTGAATGGTACCTTATATAGATGTTCAGGATAACTATGCTGAATCAGTTGTAAAGTAAGTTATATGTGTAACTTGATGTGTAAAATTAATGCATGTGTACTCAAATAAATGCTGATGCTCAGCCTTGGTATTTATTATTAGTTGCCTTAAACATTCTGCTGACTACAGGTACCCAATGTTGCCACATGCTGCCTTTCAAACTGAAACTCAGCAAACACAAGGGCATCTTCTTATAATTTGTTTTTCAAGGTGTTGCGAACAGATGCAGGAAAAAACAAGAGGATGCCAGATTTCATCTTTGATTTAAAAGAACATACATCAGTTTAAACAACTGAGAGCAAACCGACAACCAGCATCTCTTTCTCTCTCCCCCATCACAGATGGGCTGAGAGAAAAGTGTTTCATTTACAGTATTTCAATATGTTCTCAGGGTGATTTTTCCTTGATTATCTACCAATAAAATTTTGATCTAGGCGATTCCTGAATCTTGAAGTGTTTACTGTGAATTTGTGCTATATTTTTTCCCTTAATAACCCTCTCTATTCAGCAAATAAACAGAAACATACAGCATAATTTATAAAGGGTAAACTAAGTTTTCACTCAGACAGTCTTCATCCAGTCCAATTTGTTCCAATCTGACCTTTTTACACTGCCCATTTGCAAGACTGGTATGCCATTTACTGTGTTTAAAGCAACGCTAGAACTGCGCTATTTTTGAAAGTCACATTCAATCTGAAACATTAATTCTGTTTCTCTCTCCACAGGTGCTGCTGGGCCAGCTGAGTATTTGCAGCAGTTTCTATTTTTGTAGACTGAGAGGACAGTCAAAAAACAATCCTAACAATGAACAGCAGTGGTTACAGAAGCAAATTAGAATTTGCCAATTCCACTTCAGCAATTCCAATTTAATGTCTTTCTTCACTTCTTTCATTTCCCCATTATCCCCACTTTTACTTTTCATCTTATGCTTCATGCTCCTTCACTCCATAATACCTTGCTTCTCTGCGCAGCTGCAGTTTTCATTTCCTAATTTCCTTCCTGCCCTAACTCACTTGACCACTTTTACTTCTAAATCTTTGCT